CTCTCTGTGCCTCAGTTTCCGCATCTGTAGAATGGGTATAATAACACTTGCCTACCTCATGGAGTCATTGTGAGGAATAAGTGAAATAACCCAGGTGAAGTCTGTTCAATAAATTCTAGTCATCATTAATATAAGTTCTCCTTATACCCTATTTGATAATTCAATTTGCCTCACAGTCCCTCTTACCATATTCCTCGGATAATATTGATCACATTCAAAGATAATGAATATGAAAAAAAGATAATGAATATGCAATTAGCCACCCCACTCCCTTTCATCATACTCTACTTTTGTTCTCTAACATTACCTATCATCTATAATGCTGTTATTATTTTGCATTTAAAAATTTTAAATTAAATCTTTATTGTTGAAAGTATTACATATGTCCCCCTTCCTCCCCTATTTATTTTGCATTTTTATTGCTTACTGTCTATCTCTCTCCCTGGCAGGGATTTTGTTCAGGGGTATCCCCAGCACCTAGAACAGTGCCTGGCACATAGTAGCTGCTCAAATAAAAATTAGCCAATATTGTGATAAAGTCTATCTTGACTAGTCCTCCCCTAGTAGCTCTGAATTCCTAATTTCCCTTAGTCAACTTCCCTTTTGCTTTTTGGCAATAGCACTTATGTTTTAACAAACCATGTAACATACTTATTCAGTATGTTGATTAGTTATTGCTGTTTCCTCCTCGTCACCCCCATCTAGAGTGTAAGTACCGTGAAAGCAAGGACTTTTTTTTATTGATTGATTTCAGAGAGAAGAAGGGAGAGGGAGAGAGAGAGAGATAGAAACATCAATGATGAGAGAGAATCATTGACCCACACCTGCCACTACTTACACATCTCCAACACCTAGAAGAATTCCTGAATTATATGTGGCAGAGTGCCACAAGCACAGGCAGTAAAGTCAGGTCTCCTAGGACTGACACGGAATTCTCGGATGGCCTTAACCGTGTCTCCACTCTGGGCCTCAGTTTCCCCTCCCAGCTCTTACCCTTTTGGTTTCCCAGCAGCTCCGGTCCAGCCGCCTGCCGGCGCCGCGCCCCACATCGCCGCTGGAGGGCAGTGGTGTCCGCCGCTGGCTCCGCCCACCCCCAGGAGGCGGGGCGAGGTGGGATGGCCAGCCCCGGAGTAAAGAAGCCGAGTCCCGCGGCGTCCGGTTCAGTCTCCCGGGAGCTCTACGTTGGCACTTTCGGTCCCGCCATGCCCTGCTACATCTACCAGCTGCCCTCCTGGGTGCTGGACGACTTGTGCCGCAACATGGACACGCTCAGCGAGTGGGACTGGAATCATTTCGGTGAGTGGGCCCCTAGCAACCCCGCGCGGGCGGCCTGGAAGCCCCCTCCTGGCCGGTTTGGTGGGTCCTGATCCGCGGGGCTCTGCGTGCTGCCATCTGGACCCACGTCTCGCTGAGTGCCCGCAGGCAGGCCACTGACCCCTCTCGGGACCCAGTGCGATCATCTGGAAGGCGTTTTGTGATCTTTGAGGTTCCCTGCTGTCGCTCAGTCCTTCGCCAAGTAATGACCGCCGACTGTGCTCTTTACAGCCAGGCGTGTAAGAGCTGTGAGCCGTTACTGTAAGTGACCAGTGTGCCCGGCTCTGATGTAAGCACGTGACAGGGGTTATCTGCTTTAGTCCTACAGCCTATGAAGTGCGTATTTCTCTTCCCCCATTTTACAGAGGAGGAAACGGGTTTAGAAAGGTAGAGTCGCTTGCCAGGGACCATGGCCTTGCTAAGTGGCAGAATGGTGTTTGAATGCCTTGTCAGGCCCCACCAGGACATTGTATCTCCTTGGTGTGTTTTGTTTCTTTGTGCCTGATGATTGGCTGAGAGCACTGGGCATCCAGGGGGAGGCTGGGCTTGTGGTCCTCAGGTTCCCAAGCAGAGGTCTGCAATTCAGCTGGTGATTTTGGGTGAGTTGCTTAACTTCTCTGAGCCTCAGCTTCTTAATCTGTAAACTGGAGGTTGTGAGGAATGAAAAAAATTTTAATTGATTTTAGAGAGGGAAAGGAGAGGAGGGAGGGAGGGAGGGAGGAAGGGGGAAAGAGAGAGAGATTTGTTGTTCCACTTATGTATGCATTCTTTGGTTGCTTCTTGTATGTGCCCTGACCTGAGATCTAACCGGAAATCTTGGTGTAAAGGGATGACACTCTAACCAACTGAGCTACCCGGCCAGGGCCAAGGAATAAAAATTGTCTAAAAAGCACCTGACACCTAAGTGTCAGAAATTCTAGAGATTCTTGTAATAATAAAGAAGTGTTAACAATGATCATCTTAGTTTTATGTTTTTTGTGTTTTTTTTTAATATATTTTTTATTGATTTTTTACAGAGAGGAAGGGAGAGAGATAGAGAGTTAGAAACATCGATGAGAGAGAAACATCGACCAGCCGCCTCCTGCACATCTCCTACTGGGGATGTGCCCGCAACCCAGGTACATGCCCTTGACCGGAATCGAACCCGGGACCCTTCAATCCGCAGGCCGACGCTCTATCCACTGAGCCAAACCGGTTTCGGCTTATGTTTTAATCAGTGTAACCCATGCCACTTTATTTTTAAAATAATACCTATCTGTTCTTTAAAATTTAGATTATAACATATACCCTTTATACAAGAGTGTATAATATATATGTACAGTTGAGAGAAATGAACATGTGTGTGTTACTCATCCAGTTTGAGCAAATAATATATATTTTAACCTAGTGGTTCTCAAACATGGGTGATGTTGCCCCCTAGGAACATTTGCCAATGTCTGAGACATTTTTGGTTGATAGAACTTGGGAAATGCAGTGGGTAGAGGCCAGGTATGTTGCTAAACATCCTGCAGTGCACAGGACAGCCCGTCCATAAGAATGATCCAGCCTGCTCTGCCAGTGTGGTCCAGTTGGTTGGGGGTGTCATCCTGTGCAAGGAAAGGTTGCTGGTTTGATTCCGGTCATTGTGGGCTTGATCCCTGGTAGCAGCAGGCAGCAGATAGATGTTCCACTCTCACATCAATGTTTCTCTCTCTCTCCCTCTCCCTCTCTCCCTCTCTCCCTCTCTCTCTAAGTTAATTTTTAAAAAAATATATTTTATTGATTTTTTACAGAGAGGAAGGGAGAGAGAGAGAGAGTTAGAAACATCGATGAGAGAGAAACATGGATCAGCTGCCTCCTGCACATCTCCTACTGGGGATGTGCCCACAACCCAGGTACATGCCCTTGACCGGAATCGAACTTGGGACCTTTCAGTCCGCAAGCCGATGCTCTATCCACTGAGCCAAACCGGTTTCGGCTCTAAGTTAATTTTTTTTTAAATCTTAAAAAGATAAAGAATTTTCTAGGCCAAAGTGTCAATAATGCTGAGATTCAGAAACTGTTTTAAACCAGTAACAAAAATAATAAATGTTTGTTGCAAAATACAGTGGGAAACTGAGTTCAAATTCCACCACTCAGGGATACCCATTTTTAATATTGGATACGAATAATAATGAAACAACAACAGCAGCTAACTTTTATTGGCTTCTTACCATGTACCACCAGAGTGGTAGGTGTTTTATACAGTCTAGCCTTCTTTCTAAACATTTATTTATGTGTATACATTTTTAAAAAATCATGTCATTTTGAAAATTATAATAGCCTGCTTTTTCATCTAAAATACATTACAATTATTTCTCTTTGCCAAGCAATATTCTTTAGCAGCATGGATTTTTTTTCAGTGTGTATTTTTATTAATTTTTTTTGTTTTGTTTTTTTTTTTTTGAGCTATAAAATAATTTATTTCTAGTATGTTTATTTTTTTATTTTTTTTTTTTATTGCTTAAAGTATTACAAAGGGTATTACATATGTGTCCATTTTATCCCCCCGCCCTAGACAATCCCCTAGCCTCCCCTATCCCCCAATGTCTTATGTCCACTGGTTATGCTTCTATGCATGCATACAAGTCCTTTAGTTGATCTCTTACCCCCCTACCTCCTGCCCCGCAACCCTCCCCGGCCATCCTGCTGCAGTTTGACAATCTGTTTGAGGCAGCTCTGCCTCTGTATCTATTATTGTTCAAAAGTTTATAATGGTCTCTATTATCCATGAATGAGTGAGATCATGTGGTATTTTTCCTTCATTGACTGGCTTATTTCACTTAGCATAATGCTCTCCAGTTCCATCCATGACGTTGCAAATGGTAAGAGTTCCTTCCTTTTTAGAGCAGCATAGTATTCCATCGTGTAGATGTACCACAGTTTTCTAATCCATTCATCTACTGATGGGCACTTAGGCTGTTTCCAGATCTTAGCTATGGTGAATTGTGCTGCTATGAACATAGGGGTGCATATATCCTTTCTGATTGGTGTTTCTGGTTTCTTGGGATATATTCCTAGAAGTGGGATCACAGGGTCAAATGGGAGTTCCATTTTCAGTTTTTTAAGGAAACTCCATACTGTCTTCCATAGTGGCTGCACCAGTCTGCATTCCCACCAGCAGTGCACAAGTGTTCCTTTTTCTCCACATCCTCTCCAGCACTTGTCGTTTGTTGATTTGTTGATGATAGCCAGTCTGACAGGTGTGAGATGGTACCTCATTGTTGTTTTGATTTGCATCTCTCGGATGATTAGTGACTTTGAGCATGTTTTCATATGTCTCTTGGCTTTCTGAATGTCCTCTTTTGAAAGGTGTCTATTTAGGTCCTTTGCCCATTTATTAATTATTTTTAATGGATGGAAGTAACACATGCACTAAGTTAAATGATGTAAATAATACACCTGTGATAGAAGAAGGTAAATATCTTTCCACTTCCTGGCCCTCACCCTCCCTGTTCTCCCTAGAGACAGTCAGTGGTACCTTGTCAGGGCAACTATGAGAATGTCTGTTACTACTTGATTTTCTTTGCTTGACTGCTCTGTAATTTAGTGGCTTTGAATGTTTCCCGGGCAGTGGACAAGCTTTGTGTAAGAGACTCCCTCTAGTTTTTTCCATGTTGGCCTCAATTGTGAATGCCAGAACAACTTCTGTTTTCTAGGACACTCATTTAGAAGGCACTTATACTAGTAGTAAAATTGAAACACTATGGAGAAGTTTAGAATGGCCCTTCTGCAAGGATGACACTCAAACGCATGAAGCATTCAATATTTAAAAGAAAAACAAAGTGTACAGTTCATCTTTAATTTCTCCTGGACAATACTGTAAATATAAAACGTAAAGATGACTTTAGATGGTTTCAATCGTATAAGTTCTTCTAATCCTGTATTAGTCTTTTTCAAATGTCACTTATCAGGCATAGCTCTGAAATGCTGATAAGTAAGAGGTATCTGGATTTCTGAATAGTCATAATTGTATTACCCAAGGATGGAAGTGTTGAAGTTTAATTTCTAGCCCGAGATTTTAGAATAAAATCCCTTCAGCACTTGATTGAAGTACCAAAAATTATTTCCAAAAAGTATTTACTGTGAAGAATACTTCTCACAGATGTATTTTCAGTTTCAGCCTAATAGTTAAAACATGTTGTTTTTTTTTTAAATAACTGTGTAAATACAGTAAAAAATGTAAGAGAGGTCCATTTTGTAATCTTAATTAAAATGAGAGTCCTACAGTTGGATTTTGCATCTGATATCTGTTTGGAGTTTAGAGCCATTGTGTTAAAAAATACTATATGTAACAAGGAAAAGGTGCTTTTTCCTTTTAATTCCTTTGATTGATAATGGCTTTTTTTTCAAATTGGCTAAAGGATCAAAATGAAACATTGTTAATATGAATCAGTTACTGAACTTGTTACTTGTTTTTGTTAGAAATGTTAATGTAATAAATATCACTGTGGGAGATAATAGTAAAAAAAAATAAAGTGTACAGTTCGGTGGCATTTAGTATTTGCAGAATTGTACATCCCTCTCCACAATCAATCTTAGAGCATTTTAATTACCCTCAATAGAAACCCTGTTCCCCTTTATTGTCTCCCCAACATTCCCACACCCCTATTGCTTCCCCCTGCTTTAGGCATTGTTTAATCTGGACATTTTATATAAGTGTAATCATACAATATGTGGTTCTCTGTGAATGACTTTTTTCCTTTAGCATGTTTTCAAGGTGCATCATGTTGTAGCATGATCAGTGCTTAATTTCTTTTTATTGTTGAATTATATTCCATGGTACGGATATACTGCATTTTATCTCCCTGGTTATCAGTTGGTGGACATTTGGGTTCTTTCCACTTTTTGACTATTGTGAATAATGCTCCTGTGCACATTAATGTGCAAGTTTTTGTGTGGACATGTTTTCATTTCCCTTGGGTAGATATCTTGGGAGTGGAATTACTGAGTCATAGGGTAACTCTACGTTTAACATTTTGAGGAACTACCAGATTTTTCCAAGTGACTGTACCATTTTACATACCCACCACCAGTGTATGAGGGTTAGTTTCTTCATATCTTCACCAGCACTTGTTATTGTCTTTTTTATTCTAGCCATTGGAGCGGGTGTGATGTGGTATGTTATTGTGGTTTGTTTTGTATTTCCCTAATGACTAAAAAATGGAGCATCTTTCATGTGCATATTGGCCCTTTGAACATCCTCTTTGGGCCTCTAATTCTTTAGACCCTGGAGATACCAGAATTGCTCAAAGTCCTAATAGGCTTCTCATTGTGGTTTAGAATATAATCCAAACTCATCACTAGACCTGCCCAGTCTGACACAATCTGACCCCACTGATTCTGACCTCTCCTCTCATACCATCTTGCTCAACCTGCTCCAACCACACTGGCCTCCTTGGTCCAGACTCAGGGCCTTTGCACTTGCTGTGTCCTCTGCCTAGGACAGTGATGGTGAACCTATGACACGCGTGTCAGAGGTGACACGCGAACTCATTTTTTTGGTTGATTTTTCTTTGTTAAATGGCATTTAAATATATAAAATAAATATCAAAAATATAAGTCTTTGTTTTACTATGGTTGCAAATATCAAAAAATTTCTATATGTGACATGGCACCAGAGTTAAGTTAGGGTTTTTCAAAATGCTGACACGCCGAGCTCCAAAGGTTCACCATCACTGGCTTAGGACATTCTTCCACCTGTGTTCTCCATGACTAGCTGTCTAGTCTGTATTAGTTTCCTCTTGCTGCTGTAACAAAGTACCATCAATTTAATGGCTTAAGAACTGCCCAAATGCATTATGTTACAATTCTGGAGGTCAGAAGAACTAAAACCAAGGTGTTGGCAGGGCTGCATTCTTTGTGGAGGTTCTGAAGAAGAATCCATTTCCTTGCCTTTCCTAGCGAGGCTGCCTGCATCTCATGGCTCATGGCCCTTTCCTTCAAAGCCAACAGCATAGCATTGTCAGCTCTCTTTGATCTCTGCTTCTATCATATCTTTTCTGAATCTGACACTCCTGCTTCCCTTTTAGAAGGACCCTTGTAGCTGTGTAACAAGCATGTCAAACTCAGAGGCTAACACAGGCCAAATAAGGTTTAAGTTGATGTGGGCCACAAAAAAACAAAAGCTTCAATTTTCATAGAAACGTAGGTTTATTTCGATAGAGACATGCTGAATACAAAGGGCTGAAATAAATGAGTAATCGTTAACATAAAATAATAGAACATTTTAATAAAAATTAATATTTTTCCTTGAACATTAACTTACCAGACACTGAATAACTGCACAAATTCATAAGTGTAACACAAGTAAACCTATTTTTCTTGTTCTTCGAAAGCAAAATATTTCCTGTTGCGCACGCCAAACAAGACTAATGACATGGCAATAGGCTGCTAAAATATACGCTGCTAGTATTAGTGGAGAGAAAGGGTGCGCCTGCGTGTAAGGCGCGTAAGGGAAATGAATGCAACGCGATTATAGTAATCAGTCATTAGTGAACGTTGTAGTTCGTTATTAATAATTATGTATAACAGGATATTGTAAAAATTAACTTATGAAATTTTTATTAAGATCTTCCTTACGTGATGTTATATTGGCTGGGCCGCAAAAATATTTCTTGTGGGCTGCATGCGGCCTGTGGGCCGCGAGTTTGACATACTTGCTGTATAATTTTGTTAACCCAGGAAATTCCATAAAAAGGGGAAGAAAAAAAAGAAAGAACCCTTGTGATTACGTTGGGCCCACTTAGATAATCCAAGATAACCTCATTTAAAAACCCTTAATTGCCCTGCTGGACTGGCTCAATTAGTTGATGCTTCAAAAAAAATTTTCTTAAAGCAGCAGTTCTCAACCTGTGGGTCGCGACCCCTTTGGGGGTCGAACGACCCTTTCACAGGGGTCACCTCAGACCATCGGAAAACACATATATAATTACATATTGTTTTTGTGATTAATCACTATGCTTTAATTATGTTCAATTTGTAACAATGAAAATACATCCTGCATATCAGATATTTACATTATGATTCATAACAGTAGCAAAATTACAGTTATGAAGTAGCAACGAAAATAATTTTATGGTTGGGGGTCACCACAACATGAGGAACTGTATTAAAGGGTCGCGGCATTAGGAAGTTTGAGAACCATTGTCTTAAAGCCTCACCTGAGGATATGTCTTGTTTTTTGTTTGTTTATTTGTTTGTTTTTATTGATTTCAGAAAGGAAGGGAGAGGGGGAGAGAGATAGAAACATCAATGATGAGAGAGAATCATTGATTGGCTGCCTCTTGTATGCCCCCTACTGGGGATCGAGCCTGCAAGCTGGGCATATGCCCTTGACCGAATTGAACCCAAGACCCTTCAGTCTGTAGGCCCATGCTCTATTCACTGAGCCAAACAGGCTAGGGCTGTTTTTATTGAATTTGGAGAGGAAAAGAGAGAGAGAGGGGAAGAGAGAAACGTGGATTGGTTGCCTCCTGCATGTGCCCTGACTGGGATCAAACCACAACCTAGGTACATGCCCTGACCGGGAATCAAACCTGCAACCTTTTGGTGCACAGGGGACAATGCTCCAACCAACTGAGCCACCCGGCCAGGGCTGCAAATCATTTTAGAAAAGATAGTCTCTTAGGGCTGATTATGGTCCCGTTGATTGTGGTCCTGGTGGACAGGGGTAGGAAGATCCTTAAAGTGACTCAAAATCACACAGCCACAAATATGCTGCTTTTTGAATTTGACAGTTCTTGGCAGATAACGTTTGCCTCCTGTTCATTTCTCTATTATTGCAGCTGCATCCATGTTTGCTCTTGGGGGAAAAACAGGCTTCTTACAACTTCACGTACCCCAGGTGTATTTTGAGGGACCCAGGGACAGGGTTCCTTTGTTGGACCGCTCCCCATCTCGCTCACTCAGGCAGGTGCCAGCCTTTGTGCACAGCCCTGCTTTGTTCCTGCCCAGCTGAGTGACTTCAGGCAAGTGACTGCCTCGCTTTAAACCTTTCGTTTTCTCGGCTGTAAAATGGGATGGAATTGCTGCTTAGGGGACACGATGGTGGGGAAGATCCTTAGTACTTTCCCCTTCTCTCAAGCAGACAAGAGGTATTTGACCCTAGGGTGGCTCATTTCAGGAGGCTGTGCCAGCTCCAGAGGGCTTTGAAGAAGGGCGAGCTTTTCTACCATATCAGGTGAACTCCAGCAGGATTCAGGAACTCAGACCTGGAGGGATAGTCTCCACGTGGTTTTAACCAGCGGGGCTAAAAACATAGAGTGTGGATGGTTTAACAATTACAGCTAACATTCATAGCTCATTTACCATGTGCCGACCAGTATTCCAAGTGCTTCTAGATTGAAAACTAATCTGATCCTCTCAACAGCCTCTGAGGCAGACACTCTTATTATCCTCATTAGCAGATGAGGAAACTGAGGCACAGGGAGAGGTGAAGGGCCTTCCCCAAGCACACAGCAAATAAGTAGCAGAGACAGGATTTTAACCCAGACCTCTGATCCAAAATCTGGGCCTGAACCATCATTGTACTGTCCTGCTGACATAAGCATGTATTTTCATATTTATAGAAAAATCTGGAAGTTTAGCAGCAAAAAGTATAAGCAGTGCTTTTCTTGGGATCTTCCAAGTGGGATGTCATGGGAACTTTGATTTTCTTCCATTTTCCAAATGTTCTATTACCTGTATATGTGGAGAAAAGAGGTGTGGATGTAACAGGGCCCTCGGCAGTGCCTTATCCCCCCAAGATCCCTATCTTGTCTGAACCCTGTTT